GATACTGGTGATGGCTGCACATCATTTAATTAATGCCACTGAATTGTATACTTAAAAAATGGTTAAAATGGCCCCCAAAAGGGACATTTTCACAGACACACACACACACACACACACACTGCAAAGCACAGAGGTAAACAGATGGTCCACAGAAGCTTTCACTGATGTAAGAAGAAAGGACAGATCCAGATCCAGGTGATTTTGTCAGTTTAGCTGTAGAAACAGGTACTTCTGGATCATCTGCTGAGAGTGAAAGTCTTGGGATTGGAATCCTACTTCTTCGATCAACTCGGTACTTCTTTGTGCAGGTTTTGGTGTTCCCCATGATCTGGCTCTGAGTTAACCTAATCAACACATTCACTAATTTGAACCATTCACTTCAGTTAAGCCATTCTCTTCACTAGCTGAGGAGACCATCCAGCTGTCTCCCATCTCCATCTCCCTATTCATGTTGCTAACTCTTTCCTTTGCTCAGCCACATCCTCCCTGTCTTCAAGGTCAGCTCAGGAACCATTTTCACACGGAAGAGACTATCTCTCATCCATAGTTTTCCTATCTCCCTAATCATCCTAAGTGACTTCCCTGGCCTTGAACATCAATAGCATATAAAATGCTCTTCCCCATTATAGCTTACTTACCCACAGCAGTGTATGGATTATTGTTTCTCATTTGCTAGTCTTTTGTAGGCTCCCTTAATCTTATTTGCCAAGCAATTATTAATGGTCTTTTAAGTACCCAGCAAATACTATTATTGTTGATTAGCGAATAATAATTAACAATAGTTGGTATTTAGGGAGGCCAAGCATTCCACCCTGATTTCACACATACAGTTATGGAATCATTGTTTACCAGTCTCCTAAATCCCCACAACAAACTTATTAGTGAAATGTTAGCTCCATTTTAATGAAAAAGAACCGAGGTGTCGAAGAATCAAGAGGTCCATGCAAGCGTGTATGCTAATTAATAAATAATTAATATATTTAATAATAAAATAATTAAAATCAATCTTGTATATTAAAAAATTTCCTAATATATGTCCAACTGAGAATAAACCTAGGAAAAACACTTTTTATATAGAAAATGACACATTTATTTTGTTATTTAATAAATGTTTGGTCACACAACCTGAGTCTATTTAGCCAAGTTATTTTCCAAAACTATTTTCAACCTTTTTTTTTTTTTTTGAAGATTTTATTTATTTACTTGAGAGAGGGAGAGAGATCATGAGCAGGGAGAGAACCAGAGGGAGAAGCAGACTCCCCGCTGAGCAGAAAGCCCAATGGAGGGCTCGATGTGGGGCTTGAACCCAGAACTCTGGAATCATGACCTGAGCTAAAGATGGATGCTTAACCGACTGAGCCACTCAGGAACCCCTATTTTCAACTTTAAAAAGTTAAAAATTAATACATTTTTGTTATAGAAAAATAAGAAAGTAAGGCAGGGAGGAAAGTCTATAATCCCACTATCTAAAGTCAACAACTAGTAACATATCTTTTCACACATTGTCTATGATTATATGTAGACCCCCCCTTTCTTTGAATAGAAAATGGAATTTTTGTATAGATAGATAGATAGCTTCGTTAATAGGATTTTTAACTTAATGGGGGGATGAATATATTTGCATGTCAAATACACCTATGTTCCCATTAATGACTGAATGACTTATAAGCTAATCCTCTATTTTTGTATGTTTCCATTGGCTCCTATTTTTTCTAGCATATAAAAAAGCTCTGTGATGAACAAATCTCCATCTTCATGCACTTGTCCAACTATTGCCTTAGGATGAATTCCTGGAAGTAGGACTTACAGGTCATTGATAAGAAACTATTTTTGAAAAAAAAAAATTATGAATTAGAGGTGATAAAACAGATTTAGGTGCACGCTAAGTTTCCAGTACTCTGTCGTACTCAAAATTTTTTTAACCAGATAAAACTGTTTTTTAAATGTCTGAAGAATTTAAATAGATGGTTTCAACATCTCAGCCCCTTCAAACTATATAAATATATAGATGACAAGCACAGAAATCTAACATTGATTTGGAAGACAAGACATATCCTAATTTCAACAACACTTTTATTATTTCTTTAATCAGATGAGAAAAGCAGGGAAAAAAAGAGGAACCCACATTTGTAAAAACGATCTTCTCCGATTTTTAAAAACTTGTTTTTATTTTTCTGATTTAAAAAATTACACATTAGAAAATTTGGAAAATACAGAGAATAAAGAAAATACGAATTTCCCAGAATCCAACAATACAAGAGATAGCCTTACAGTTTCACTACTTTCTCCACATGCACATTTTTTAAACAATTTGCCGTTCTCCTTCTCTCCCCCACCGGACCCACCAGAAAGGAGGGGAAAGCAGGTCCTTGAGGTCCGCCACACCATTTCATCCTCACCGAAGGCTTCCTCCTTGCTGAGCTGTGGCCTGTTTGCCTTCTTACTTCCCAGATTGCTACACAAAAGCAAAAGCCACCCGTCTACCCTCCCACAACAGGGCCAATGATCCTCTGCCTCCAGAACTCCGAACTGGAGAACCGGAGAACAACAAAGTTAACTTCCAGCCGCCTGCTGCATTTCAGAGCCAGGTTTCTCCCCGGTAACACCTTGAAGATTTATCTCAGCTGATCAACATCTGAAGCGGCAACTAACACCTTATAAGATGTATACAGCACTTTAAAGTTTAGCAAGTTCTCTCACATTTTAACATCTGCGAGTCTTCTGAAATGGACAAAGCAGATATCCCTGTGTATCAGAAAAGGAAACCAAGGTGCAGAGGAGCTGAGTAAAGGTCATAGATAGTGAATGGCAGAGCTTGGACTTGAAGCCATAAATTGACTCCAAGGTCAGAGCTCGTTGCCTAGCCATTGTTAACTAACCATTCTTCAGACTGACAACTAGAAATTAAGAGCCAGAAGGATCTTCAATAAATCACCTAATCTAATCCCTTCTTAGTAGTTACATGTAAGGAAAAGAAGTCCCAGAGAAGCTAGGTGATTGCCGAAATTCACCAGCTTTCATGATGAAGAGGATCTAAAGGCCCAATCTTCAGACTCCCCGGCCAGTGCTCACGCCAGTCGTCCCTAGAGAGATGTTCTTTAATAAGCTGGTCTCTCATCCGGAGTCTTCTGGTTAGCCAAATGTCAACCAGGAATTAAAATCCTAAAAGTGTAGAATGTTAGAGCCAGAAGGGACCTTGAAGACCACCCCAGGCAACCCATTCACTTCACAGATGAGGAATCTAAGATCCAAATCCCATGGCTTTTGATGTTCAGTTCTATGCACTTCCCTTCCACTCAACCTATCACTTCCCTTCTGAGTAGTTAAAAACAAAATCTGGCCAAAGATTTTACTTCCTTCTTTGACACTCAGCGTGCCACAGGCCACAGATCCGCAAAATCAAAGTGAAACTAAACAGGACTTGAACTCAGAAGATACTTCATTTGCAACATATGTACCCACCATGACTGTTATCACAAAATATCCGAGTTCTGCTGGGGTCTGAGCAGGCTCCCCCACTCTCCGCCCTCCACCCCCCAACCAGAGAAAAGACCTACTGAAATCCCTGCGTCCTAGGAGAGGTTACCTATGACCCTTTGGAAGTCACCATCCCTTTAATCTGCGAAAATGTAGCAATACTGTTTCGCTAAAGGCTTTCACTCCACAAATAAGCCAGGAATCCGAATTAAAACTGGCAGCACATCACCAGAGCTGTCACAGTTCGCTGACCCCAATGGACTCAGACCCTGCTCCCACCATCTTTGTATTAACCCCCCCCTCCCAAATCAGCTCCTCAACGCCTGCTAACCCTGACTCTGCAGCAGCTCCACGGTTCTACGGCTAGCTTACTTCTCTAATGAGATGGAAAGCTCTTTGAGGGCAAGAGGCTACTTCTACCGGCCCTAGCTTCAAGAAACTTGAAGGATAAACCAAACCATGTGTAAAACCAAGCGCGGTCACAGAGGTGTAAACAGGAAGCCAAGGAGCGCAGAAGACGTGCGTCTACGGCTGGGGAGGAGGGCAGCTGCTGGGTAAGGGAACAGATCCGCGTCTTAAAGGGCTAGTGGGATCAGTCGGGCAAAGGTAGGCGGAAGGCAAAGCCAGGCAGGCGGGCCAGAGTCAGCACAAGCAAGGAGAGAAATAGTTCAACGTTGCCGTAGCATCAAGTGCAAGGCGGGGAGTGGTGAGAATTGAGGCTGAAGCGGTGGGCCCAGCAAGGAGGCAACAGGCAACAAGCGCGCGTAATTCGCGCTGACCTGTACCAGGAGAGCAGCTTACGCAATTCTCGAGTAAACGAATTTGGGCGCCCATTGCGAGGCTCTCTCAATGACCGCCGCGCCAGCCCCCTCCCCCGTGCACCTGTGCGCCTTCGCAGCTGCCAAAGCAAACGCAGGGTTGCCTCAACCCGCTAGATTTTCAACGCGGGCCGCACGCCGCCCCCACCCCGGCCACCGCCAAGGCCACGGCTTCCTCTAGCCCCCCGCCCCCCTGGCCCGCTCGTTTCTCCGCTCTGGTTTAAAACGCCTGTTGACGCACTGTGGCGGGTGCCTGCGCGCTGGCGGGCGGCCCCGCGGTTTTCTCTGCAGTTGTCACCGAGGTTCCTGAAGAAGAATCCCTGCGGGCATCCCGACCCCGGGCTGGGGAGGCCGGGGGCGGCCAAGGCTCCCTCGGTCGAGCTGGCCCGGGGCCTGGCACGGCGGCCGGGCAGGGGCCGGTGCCATCTGGGGCTTGCGCAAGGCGCAGTGCCGAAATCAGTCCTCCCGGGAAAGCGCAGCATGGAAACAAACAAACAGGACGGGCCGCCCTCTCTCCGCCCGCGGCTGAGCGGGCACCGGGGACAGTGCGGGCTTCCCCGCAGCCAGGCTCGGGCCGGGGCTGGGGCCAGGACCCAGGCGGGCGCGGCGACGGGGGTGCGGGGGGCGCGGGGCGGAGCGGCCCAGGGCAGGGGCTCGCTCGCTCGCTCGGGGTCCGCGCGCCGGCGCCCAGGCCGTTGTCATTACCTGGCCAGTGTAGTTTTCCCCGAGCCCGGGAGGCCTCGCAGGAGGTAGAGGTGTTTCCTAAAGCTGTGGCGCCGCGGAGGTGTCCCACGCGGGGGTGGCGGGGCCGGGGGCCGAGGTTTCTGCTGCTGCTGGAGGCTCAGCCTCCCAAAGGATTCAAGAAAACTCTCCTCCATGGGGTGGGGGCTGGCTGCGAGAGCCCTGGGTTCCCTTTCCTGAAGTCACCGTCTTGGCCAAAGCTGTTGTTTTTGTGGCTCTCCGGCCATGTGATAGATGGAGGGGCGGGCGCTCGGAGCCCAGCCCCTCCTTCCCACCCGAGCGAGCCGCGCTGCGTGGGAGGGGGCGTCCCTACCTGGAAAGCTGGGGACTCTGGGAGACCGGCAGCCAGGAGACCCTGGGTGATGCTCCCTACCCCCTGACCCCCAGCCCGCTCGCCGACCCCCTCCCTTGCCTCTCGGTGCCCTTCGCCCTGAGGGGAAAGGGCCTGCGGGTTGAAACACAGATACTTCCCCTGGCCGCCTGCCGTGGAAGTCAGGCCCTCCGCAACAACCCTCCTCCACCCCCCCCTCCACTCCCGACTGGCCTAGACCTTGAAAATGAAATAATTTTAGTGAACGATTAAAGAACGTGAACAGCATTTTGAATAGTAACAGTAAAGTCCATTGTCTTCCCCAGTTTGGGAGCACCAATATCTGGCTAGTGTCCCAGCGGCTCATACCGCTGTCCCACGGCCTGTGTCATTTCTTCTTCTTCTTCTTCTTCTTCTTTTTTTTTTTTTTTGTTCCTTCTTTAGCCTGCCAAAAATATTCTTAGAAAGCTTTGTTGCTTCTACATAACTTTAAATCTCATCAGAAAAAGCACCCCTTAAAACTCAAATTGATGTATGGACAGTAGCATAAACAAGGTCTCATGAGAAGACCTGCACTGCCCAGGTACTTGCTTGGCTGCCACCTGAGAAGACGCGGCCTCTCTGGAAGGATTTCAGCTCCCCAGGGAAAGGAGCAGTCTCTGGAAATCATTTATAGCTAAGTATCCAGAATTAAGTTCTAAGCTCCAGGAACTGGTGAGTGCCAGTTGCTTGATCACCATGGCACTCCCCAGTATTTCACACTCAAGAGTGTGATAGACTGATCCTATTTTTTGAACCAAAATTCAAGATGCATGGACTGAAAGAGACAATATTGAAAGTACCATGTTGGAAAAATCCAAAATATATGGTGGCTTTGGCTGTAATAATTACAGTAAAGCAAATGCATTTTGTTTCTGGCAGCTAAGGTATGAACATTTTGAAAAGGAATTGTGAAGAAAGCAATTTCCTTCTGAAACAAAATCCAGAGATTTCATAATAAACTTTTGAAAGAAGGAGCTAAGTAGGAAGGGGCTCTGTGCTGAGAATCACACATTCCCCTTGGAATTCCCCTGGAGTGGTGGTGGTGGGGAGATGAGCTGCTCACCCTTGGAATTCCCTTCCCAGAATCAGAGGAAGGATCTTGGCACTGCTGAGAAAACTAGAATTTCAAAAGCTTCCCAAAATATTAGGGGAAAACCATAAGGAACAGAGAACACACATGACTCATAAAAATAGTGATGCTTAAATGTAGGTATCCTCTATTTCTATATTCTATCATACTTCTAATAAGAGAGTTTTTGCCCAGCCTCAAATACTACCTTTTTCATTCTAGACTTGCACCATACAATACAGGAGCCACTACCTACATAGGGCTATTGAGCACTTGAAATGTGGCTAGTGCAAATTGTGATTAAAATGCACACTGAATTTTGAAGGTTCCATATGAAAAAAAAAGTAAAATATCTCAGTAATTTTTATACTGATTATGTTTTGAAATAATATGTTGATATGTTGGGTTAATATGTAATTAAAATTAATATCACTTCTTTTCGCTTTTTTAATGCAGATACTAGAAAAGTTTAAATTAGACACATAGCTAGTGTATTTCTATTAGTGCTGCATGAGACCTCGCATCCACTTCTATTTTCTTCTACAGAGGGGGTCCCAGGTGATGTGGGATAGGGCACAGGAAGACACACAGCTTTGGGGTCTAGAGGTTGTAGTATATGGAGTCTGCAGTGTCTGGCAGATGGAACGACTGAGTAGAGGCTGAGGAAAAAGAGTGTGTTGCTCAGAAGGAAGGTCTGAGCTAGAGACAGAGCTTTGGAAAGCTTTGCCCTATGAGAAAAAGATAGACAAATAGTGCAGACAGCTGAAGAGGGGCCCCGGGGGACACCAGCATGTAAGTACTGTGCCTTTGAAGCGGATCTGCCAAAGGAGAGTATCGGAGAATGATCAGCAAAGCAGACAGAACTAGAGATGTATGAAGGCCCAGGGAAGAAGAGCTTCAAGGAAGAGAAAATGGACAGCAGTACCTGGAAGTGAACCTGGACACTTTTCCTTTTTTTCAATCCCCACATTTAACTAGTCAACAAGTTCTAGCTGGTTTTTCTGATTTATTCCTCTAAACGACACTGTTTAACGTTATCTGTGTATGTGTTTCCCCCCACTAGACTATAAGTAGAAACAGTATCACCCTTGTCCCCCCAAGATCTAACAACACAGCCTGACATTCAGGAGGTGCTCAATAATTATATGTGGACCGGAACTACTTTCTCAATAGATAAGTGTGATCTTGGGATTTACTAAATATTAGGAGAAAACCAAGATCATGGTAATGTCAGCGAAGGAGCAAACAGTAAACGTATTGACGGATCTGAGATCCAGCTTGCTAGGAGCTGCAATCACGTGTTTGCTGGTTCTCTCTAGGTGGCAGCCTCCAGAGATCTGGGCTAGCCTGAGTCTGAGGATCCCTGTGAAAACACTCCTTAGTGCCCTCATTTCAACCAACTTTTCAACTCTAAGGTTCTGTTCCATTTCTCACTTATAGGATGACCAGCACAATCTTACTTTGCTGCACTTGAAACCATTACCATGACAGATGGAAACAAAATTATAAATCATTTTCGGCAAATGAAACATTCAAATGTTTCTCTAATTATTACTGTTTAAAAGACATGAAAAAATGAGGTACATAAAAAGAACTAGTGAAAACCAGGAACTTAACCCTCAAAACTACAGCTCCAAATAACCCAGGATTTGGAAGGCCTAATTATAAATCAGCCCCAGGTTTCTACCCCAGAGAAGCCACGATGGCAGAAAGTCTGAGACCAAGATGGATTTTCGAAGTAGTCTAACCAAAGACCCTTGAACGTGTACAACCAGTGAAAACATGTAGGCACAGTTTTTCCAACGCTTTCCAATCCTATGTCTTTTCTTCCCCGGCCAAAATTTTTCCGAATTTTTTTCCTCAACAACATAAACTAGACTTATCCACATCCATATTCCTCTTGTCAAATGTAAGTGGTATAAATGGAAAGGACCGGAAGGAAGTCTAGCTGTGCATGTGTGTAGACCCCTGATTGCCCAGCAGCTCCACTTGCACCTGCTGCCACCTTCTGCCCAATCTGACCAGTCAGAGACAGGACCTTGTCCTCCTCTCTACCAACACTGTTCCCTCCTGGCTCTTCCCTCATCCTTCCCCTAGAAGCCAGATGGAGGCTGCAGGAAGCTAGAAGACGTTAGGGAAAGGGGGACAAGGGAAGAGAAGTGATGCAGCATATTTATGTCTTTTTGGCTGAACTGACAGGTGAAATGCACAGGGCTCTGGTGGCCTGGGAGTGGTCTGCCATGCAGAATGTCCTCTGGATAAGCCTGATTTTGCTCACTGTACTCCACTGCCTCTGCCTCCCACAATCCATCCCTTATTCTTATTAGTGCCATACTCCTTCCCCAAGGTGAGGACCATATCTTCTTTCCCACAGCACATATTTGCCACTGTGCACAAGAGTACTTAAAGACTATGAGTTTTAAAGCCTGGGAGCAAGAGAAAGTAGGCTCAGTCCATTTTTCTAAAGTTCCATTCTGGAAATTAGGGCAAGTTAATAAAGACAGGGGCTGGAGAAAGCTGGGGACATTCTGGAACCTGGCACAAGCCTGGATAGATGGTCAGCTGGTTTGCATCAGTACAGCAGAAAGGTGCTTCAGAACTGGTCACTATTCATGACATAGTCATTGTTAAATATTTATGATATTACCCTTGGGTAAGGCACGGCAGTGTGGATTCTAATGTATTCGTTCGAAATCCATATAAATATTGCCAGTGAAGGCCCCTAAGAAAGCAAGGCTTTGCCAGATACCTGAGTCCCCTCTGCCAATGTTTATGCCTCCACACTAACACCAGTCGTCTTCCCTGAAATCATCCCACCCATGGCCAAAAGCAAGTCCAGTTTCACAATGGCTCTAGAAGCCTACAGAGAGAGCAAGACTCTCGAGGAGTTCAAGCAAACCCCGAAGACCCTGGTCTCCATCTGGAACAGACCCACCATCTGGTAGAAAGATGAACTAAAGCTGTACGAAATGAGCATAAGGGAAAAAATAAAGCTATTTTAAATAAAGTCCTTAATTCCCAATAAAGATGGCAGATGAAACACAAATATTTAATTGCCACTCTCTCCTTGAAACCCCACTAAAATGTCGGGGAGGTTGATTTGTTATTATATTTAAGTGTAAACTATAAGAAAAAAGAGAGAAGATTACAGCAACAAAATTCTGAAAACTGCAGAGCAAAGGCCACGTGTTAATTTGGCAAAAACAAACAACTAAACAAAAAAGCCTGAATTATAGAAAGCCGTGAGTCAACACAATTTACCCTGCATAACCCCTAAAATTTCAGGAACTAGAAGATTTGGGGTTGGAGACAAGGCTCTAAACAGGAAGGTAAGTTGGATTCTGTTTAAGAAACAAACATCCAGAGTCAGGCAATTGCCCACCTCCTAGAGAAGCCTGGATGTTCATTCCCTGGAGATCAGACAGGATAGGGTGGAGTAGGAGGTAAGATAAGACAGTTGGGGCTCCCTTTCTGAAAACAGAGGGAGTAAGAAAATGGCTATATGTTGGACAGTGAGTAATCACTCCCTGTTTCTATTTTTCAAATATGAATTTTCATATTTGAAGTTGGTTAAACTAAACTAAACTGAACAGTTTTTAAACTAAAACAGTTTTAAAAGATAGTTACCCCTCGTATGGCACAAGTCCCACAATCCCTAACCAATATCCTTGAGCTCAGATTTGTTTCAGAATTCAGAAAGTGTGTGCTTGTTCATTTGTCTGTATACAGGACATGTGTATGTGTATATATAACCTTATATTCTGAATGGGGGCTGGGAAGCCCATAGTAATTAAACACTGGTAATTAAATATTGCTGCAATGAAATGTATGAATGGTCGCACTAGGTAGGAGAAATAAAGAGTAAAACTAACCTGTTAAAGCGTCGAGTTTTGCTACCAAACATTTAAGAAACAAAACAAAACAAAAACAACTTTTGATTCAGAGCTTTTTGGATTTCGGAATTTTAGAAATGGAA